CAAAAATAGTGTAGATCAATAGATCTATGAAAACTTGAAAATCTTGAAAATTGACTGTCCAAAAATGCATTACAAAATACACTATTTGCAAAACTTGAAATCCATTTTTTTCTCATGTTCACGCATCTTGATGTCGAGATGATCAATTTGAGGATATTTGGGCATCAAAACAACCTCTTCAAGTGAAATTTTTGATGTAGGCTCAAATTTAATTGTTTAAAGCCTCGGATCTATATAAACTTTTCCTATATAATTAACTAGGGAAAACATTATTTAAGGGCTCAAAACCCCAACAAAATTATTAAAGGGGTCAAAAAGATGTCAAACAACATTAAAAAGATAATTTCTTAATTTTTATTTTAATCAAGTACCTTTCCCTAAAATACCTTGAACACGTTTGTTTCACGTGAAAATATCCCAAGACGAAAGAATTTCCTCATATGATTAGGCATTGAAACTATCTAAACAATCACAGTAAAGCACAACTTCGTTGAGAAATGTAGTTTTAATATTGAAAATCTTTGGGATAGACTTAAGATATATTTTCATCTTTAATTATAAAATTTTAAGCTTCAAAAATAGTATTTAAAATCTTTGTGATAGACTTAAAATATATTTTCATTTTTAATTATAAAATTTAAAGCTTCAAAAATAGTATTTAAAATCTTTGTGATAGACTTAAAATATATTTTCATATTTAATTATAAAATTTAAAGCTTCAAAAATAGTAGAGATCAAGCCGATCTATAAAAACCTGAAAATCTTTCAAATTGACGGTCCAAACATGCGTTACAAAATGTACTATTTCCTATACTAGAAATCTAATTTTTTTCTCATGTCCATGCATTTTGATATTGAGATGATCAATTTGAGGATATTTGGGCATCAAAACCACCTCTTCTAGTGAAATTTTTTAGATGAGCTCTAATTTGATTATTTAGAGCCTCGGCTCTATATAAACTTTTTCATGATAATTGATGTGAAATATTTCCCCACCTAACCACGGAAGAAATATTTTCATGTGCAAATATTTCTCAAGAAATAATTTCACATTAACCAAACATGCCCTTACAAATAACCAAATTGCCCAGTTGAGAACTCTAAGCATGCAAGGCCATTTCTATTGAGTTACCCAACCCCTATTTATTCATCTTTCTCAAGCTGAACGAGGGCAATTAGGGTATTTTCCAAATATATTTTTAAAGAGGCATCCAAGTGAAATAAAAATTAGAACATAAACCCAAAAATTTTAATTGAAATATTTTGATTCCTTAATAATTTTGTAGAAGGTGTTGACCCCCTAAACGATATTTTCCCAGTCAAGTATGACCGCTTGCCTTTAAAGAACGTTATGCAACCATCTTTGAACAAGCATTCATCACATGGAAAGCATTAGTAATTAAATGTAAACAATTATTTAATCCTCAGCTCAAGTGAACTAAAGGCACTGTATTACAATGGATAGTAAGATCAAACAACCGAACATCACCTTTTGAAAATCTGAACCAGCCGTTCAGAAACTAATCCGATTTCTAATACAAGTTAAACACTGCTTTCAAAACCAGGAAAGAAAAAGGGTAAAACTTAAATCAATTAGGGCTAAATTCCAAATAAAAAATCAATGCCCTGCAACTATGTCACAATTTAAGACCCAAGAAAGAATGGACAGACCACATTGATCTCTCAAGATAATGGTTAGCTTCCCTAGGATTTTCTGGAGAATGGATTCTGGATTTCCCCATTTTCCAGTTCCTTTTCAGGGATGAATTGAAAGAGGTACCAACGATTATGGTCTTGAGGATGAGGCATGATGCTCTGGATCCAATCCTCCATTTGATCTCGAATTCTTGTTAGTTGGGTTTTCTCTCTGAATCATTCTTACAAGTGCCTGTACAATCTCTGACATTGGTGGTCGGAATTCTGGCTCTGGCTGCAAAAAATATACAGGTCAATAGTCAATCCCTTCAGTAGCTCTCGAGGGTAAACTTTACGAGATAACTTCACAAAGAAAAATTAGAAAAGAAAAAACAAACTACTATATGGGGTGAAACAAACATGAAAATATCAACTCCAAATGGTAACTACTAAAGAATGCTAAGTTTCTATTGGTTACAAGGAAATACGTTCTAGAAGCAACAGGTTACAAAGAGGCAATAGCCAAAAAATATGAAAATTAAAAATTAAGAAAGTTTACATATAAATCCAATATAAGTTTCGGTATTAAAGGATGGTCCATAGGAACATATCTGTGAGGTCAGAAATTTAAGCTTGACTTTTGCTACTATTTCACCACGTTGTGAAGTTTAACTTTCAAAAAGCCAAAACGCAAAAGGAACGAGTTTTTTGGACAGCAAGAAAAGTTCAACTTTTGAACGGTTCAAAACATAAAAAAAATAAATATATAGATAAATAAATAAGTAGGTTTTTGTGTAGCAAGAAAGTCGTATTTTCGAACAGCCCAAGTCAAACACACACACGCACAAAGGTTGTTTGGGCAGTTCCAACCTTTTTGAGTTTTGAATTTGTATCAGAGCAATTTGAAAGTTTGACTTTCGAACAACCCAAACGTTTAGTTTTTTTGTATTTGAAACATTCAAAGTTGAACTTTTGAACTGCACAAGCACCTACCATTTTGTATTCTTTGAAGTTGCACTTTTGAACCATCCAGACTCTCACTTTTTTTTTTTTTGGATGTTTTGGATTGCTCGAAAACTGGACTAGGGGGTACAATAGAAAATAGAAATACAAAAAATATGACCTCACCATAAAATAT